AGTGCGCTGTGCTCAGGGTCCTGTCCAGTAGCAGAATTCTGAAACATTTCCACTAAACAAGTCCAGGATACAACAGCATATACAGTACTCACTAAGTCAAAATGGTGGATTGTGCTCGGGTATGCTATGTTCCTATGTTCATAAAGAGAATGTTGAACCATTGCCACTAAACCATATCAAGTTGAGAATACAATGGCATAAACAGTACTTGCTGAGTCATAATGGTGATGCTTATAGATTGAAACAATTATTTATTTGTCTAGTCTCGACATAAAGATTCCAGAAGGGTTATTAGTTGCGGTTGTTGGCCAAGTTGGAACTGGGAAGTCATCCCTGCTCTCTGCAATCCTCGGGGAGATGAATAAACTGGACGGAACTATTCAGAGAAAAGTAAGATCATTAATACAAAAGCCCTGTGGATTTCAAAGACTGCATCTGCTAGGTAATGTACTAAGCATGCCTGGAGCTTCTCAGAACCTTAATCAGTGAAGATATGGGAAGAGTAAACTGTGGTAGCAAATGCAAATATTTGATATAAGCTGCCAGAACTCCATGCAGAGCAGAAAAAAACGATAATGTAGACTGTAGAAGCAGCAGGACGCTCATGTCAGGATCTAGTAACTTTGTTTTGGATTCCTTTCTGATGTACACAACATGAACTACCCAATTACGGACAATCAAATTCCATCCACCAATGAGCCCTCACCCCAGCTCTGACTGCAAACATGATGTTAAACTGTAAAAGTTTTGTGACCCTCAGTGTAGTGCCGAAGCTCACCCTAAAAATACTGCAGCCAAAATCCTTTCATTTAGTTTTGGACTAAGAAGGGCTAAAACCACTGTCATGTTATTTCTATCTGCTAGGGAGACTTTCTCCCTCTATTTTCCTGGTGAAAGGTGTCACCGTAATTTAGAGTTACAAAACAAATCCCACGTTTTGCATTGTCACAAGACCAGGAATAGAGGGGAAACCTTCCAGTGTAAAGACTTGTTCCTGTGATCAGGGGCGTCCCGAGGCCGGGTGTCACCTGGAGCGGAGATCGGATAACACCCTGCCGCGAAGTCATCACACATGCGCGGCCGTCTGATTGGCGTCTGCCGGCGGCCATCTTGGTGATGGACGCCGGCAGAGAGAGGAGGGGACGTTCACCCGGGGGGATGACACTGTCGGGTTCTCGTTCAATGACCGAGTGCCTGAGTTTTTAGAGTGGATGACACCAAAGTGACTGTCAGTCATTTTGGTGTCACCCCTCCAATGTTGTCACCCGGGTGCGGGGCGCACCCCTCTTGTGACGCCACTGCCTGTGATAATTGTCTAGGAGGACATTTCTCTTAGATTTGCTGCCACTTCCTGTTGTATCTACAGGACAGGAAGCATGGGTCTTCAGTGGGAAACGGATGGCAAAACAACTGACATGGAGGTTTAACCAATCCCTATTCTATCCAAAATTTAAAAAGTTTGGGCTTTAGATATAGTTTAGAGCAGTGGTTCTCAACCTGTGTAACCTCAGGACCCACATTTGTCCTTAGTCATTAAGTCGCGACCCAAGTCGCATTGCAATGGAACACACGGCAGTGCTGGGTTGCTGTGATGGAGCTCCATCTATATGCGCATTGCTTGTACAGCTCCCATGCGCACCCTGTAGAGGTGACAGGGAGCCAGAATGTGATGTCACTCCGGTCCAGGCACCTCTATAGGACATGCGAGGGAGCTATAAGCATTGCACGTATGGAGGGAGCTCCCTCACGGCCATAGCCTCAGCCCACCCCACCTCAAGTCAACACTTGGAGCCGGGCAGCATACTTTGAATGGCTGCTCAGTGTAAGAATGGACAGTGCTGTGCTAGGGGGAGGCTGGGGAGTGAAGGCATGTGGCGACCCACTGAACATGGGGTCGCGACCCACTTTTGGGTCACGACCCACCAGTTGAGAACCAAGGGTTTAGAGTGCTGAAATGTGGATTTTACCCTAGGGTCTACAAAATGTAGCTAGTTCTGCTATGATGAAAGTCAGCCACTGGACATAGAAACTTGGTGGTGATGTTGCATTTTGGTCAATCTTTCTTTTTATTTTCTCCACTAACAGGGGTCTGTGGCCTATGTATCACAGCAAGCATGGATACAGAATGCATTGCTTCAGGATAACATTCTCTTTGGCCAGGCCTTCAATAAACCATATTATGATCGAGTCCTAGAAGCCTGCGCCCTTCTTCCTGATATGGAGCTCTTACCACATGGAGACCAGACCGAAATTGGAGAGAGGGTGAGGCTACTCATTGCATTATGAGGGTATCACCTCATTAATATCAGGTGGCAGTTGGATGTACAGGTGTAAGCTGAAAGCTGACAAAGCATTATTCACTGTTCATTCCTTAAATATAATCTGCATCATATCTAACCTTAGAGGATAGTGGTGGCCAACTTATTGGTGTAGCAGGCATCAAGTCTGAAATCACCAAAGGGTCACACCTAGTATTCAATAATTGTAATGTTATAGAGAACTGTCAGAGAGTGCAGATATGCAACAGGGAATAGTCAGTGACTGCGGACATGATATAGGAGTTGTTGGAGACTGGGGATATGCTTCAGGAGACGTTCATAGACTGGAGACACATCACATCAGATAGAGATCACTGCTGTTGAAGCCCCTTTTCAGAACAGTTCTTTACATTTGTGCTCCCTACAGCCCTCTTAAAAAAATACTTTTGATATTTATCTCAGCATTATAAAATATTGGAGGAAAAAAACGTGAAAAGAGAAAATGGATGGACAACACAGAAAAAAAAGTTAAAGCAATTTTGAAAGAAATAAACCATACCATTTACCTACTTGAAGCCAGTCTAAATGATATTTTCTGTTAATGGATTGAGTAAGCACGAAAACACAAACCACTATCTTCCCAGGGACTGCGTCATAAGTGTCAAGGGCCGCAGGTTGGGCACCAGGGCTTTAATCACTTGTCCCACCATAGTCGTAGAGAAGGGGGTGCCTTCTGCTGCCATCAGGTATACATGGACGTGGCTGTATTTCAGGCTGTATTTCATGGCAGAGTGTGTGCTTCCCATGCCTGGCAGTGCTACCCATGCACAGGGACGGATTAAGAGCATCACGGACCTTTTGGTGGGCCTTTTTATGGAAATGGCGACGGTCATCGGGACCCTCTTCCTCCTGTCTGGGCTGTGATTTGTAGTCTCTCTACAGCTTGGAGTCAGTGGTGGAGCGCCAGGGCCCGGTTGCAGCTGCGACCCTGGTAGATCTGCCACTGACTCCAAGCTGTAGAGGGACTAGAAAGCCTAGCAATACATTATACAGCAATGCATAGAGGACTACAAATCCCAGTAATACATTATACAGAAATTTAGAATATCACCAGCTATAGAGGACTAAAAATCCCAGCAATTAATTATACAGCAATGCATAATATTACCACTAACTATAGTGGACTACAAATCTCAGCGATACATTGTAAAGCACTGCAGTATAATACCATCAGCTATAGAGGACTACAAATCCCAGCAATACATTGTAAAGTACTGCAGAATAATACCATCAGATATAGAGGACTACAAATCCCAGCAATACATTGTAAAGCACTGCAGAATAATACCATCAACTATAGAGGACTACAAATCCCAGCAATACTTTATACAGCAATGCAGAATAATTTGAAACTGCATACTCTGTGTTGCTCCGGGTTCATGGCCTGATGTCTCCAGGGTCTCAGGAGAGCTTTGCGGGGTTTAGGGGGGCTGTGCAGGCTCCTTGGAGGCTGTTCAGGTTCTTACATGGCAAGTGCGGCTCTATGAGGGCCAGTGCGGGCTCTCAGGCGGTCGGTGCGGGCTCTCAGGTGGTCAGTCTGGGCTCTTAGGTGGTCAGTGCGGGCTCTCAGGCAGTCAGTGCGGGCTCCAGGGGGGGGTCAGTGAGGGCTCCAGGGGGGGGTCAGAGAGACTGGTGACTGCAGCAGATGTGGCCCTCTGCTCAGGCACGTCGGAGGGCCCTCTGATATGCCTGAATAGAGGGCCTCGGCTGCATGGTTAGCTCGGCCCGGCCGCGATCCTGGACAGCTCGGCCCAGCCGCAATTCGGTTCAGCTCGGCCGGGCCTATTTGCAGGGGCGGGCCTGGAGCGGGAGCTCCACCCCCTTATGTTAATGCGGCCCTGGCCATGCACTTAAGACTGCTATTGTCTCTCTACTGTATGTTCATACGCAGCATAGTGACACCACCCTCATTTTTAGAAAGTCGGCTATTCTACATAGTGTTGCTGGCCCTTGGGCAGAGAAGGGAAATCTAATCATTTATATTGCCCAGAAAGCAAAATATAGGCGGATTAAACATCAGCTTTTAGAGATTTGTATGTTGCTTATATGTTACAATGCAGTAACTAACATGTATTTTTTTCTTTTGTATATATGCAGGGTGTAAACTTAAGTGGCGGTCAGAAGCAGCGAGTCAGTCTGGCAAGAGCTGTGTACAGCAATGCAGACATCTATCTGTTAGATGACCCCTTGTCTGCAGTTGATGTTCATGTTGGGAAGCACCTGTTTGATAAGGTCATTGGACAGAATGGGTTGTTAAAAAATAAGGTAGGCTGAAGAAAAATATGTGTTTCGCTACATTAGAAAGAAGCACTATGCAGTGTTGGTCATTTCAGTAGCTTCTCATTTTATTACATGAACTTGCTTTTCTGTTACATTGGAGTTCTGGGTCTCCTCTAATTTTAGGATACCAGGCAGGCCCTATACTAGCAGTTCTCTGAGCCTCTACTGTAGTGGATCCAGGGCAGCTGTTGGTTCCACAGGAAGCCATCTTGCAAATCAAATGTATATTCTGCATGTATAAAGTGATGTCATGTTACTGTTTTGCTTTGTGTTGAATGCTAAGTGGAAACTTATGTGTCTGTGTAGACAAGGATCCTGGTGACACACAGCCTCACCGTTCTTCCTCTAGTGGACTTCATTATTGTCATGGAAGATGGCAGGATAGCTCAGGCTGGCACTTACATGGACCAAATCTCTAAACGGCAGGACTTGGCAGACTTGATCCAAACATCCGTGACACAGAAGGAGAATCTAAACCAAAAACCTTGTAAGTACAGATATATATTTTTATCTGGCAAAGATCAATGTTCTTTTTATGTTATAACCAAGAAGAACTTATTTTATTATTTAATAATTATATCATTTAAAAATATAATTTTATTATAGTTATGTCACATTCTGAGATACAGCCCCAGTGGATATTTTCTAAGCTGCCGCTGTGAATAAACAAATGTATATAAACACTATATGTCAGCATTCCACTAATAAGATCATAACAGGTTTTATCGATAGTCGGCCATTGTGGAGTTCATCAAAATAAAGCAGATTTGAAATAGAAAGTCTATTCGGGTATTCGGTAGTCTTGAGGCCCCTTTCTCACAGGTGCCTGCAGTTCTGTGTATGGATCCCCTGCTGAGCAAAGCAGTTTGGAACGGATATCACCATTATGACATTGGGTTTATCCCTTTTATCCATGTTGGTCTGTGGAGAGTCGGATGTAAACAGAAGAGTCCATTTACATCAGATTACCCCCGGTTTGCCACAATCAGGTCCACCAAATGGAACTCTCTTCTGCCTATTTTTCCGGACCTGGCCAGAGTCGGACACACGTCCATTTAGATCTGGCTGCCCATAGACTAACACTGGGCTTCCTATCAGGTCCACCTGTCAGTTTTTCCCATGTGGAAAATCTCTTAAATGGGTAAGTCTTTGGCACCCAATGCCATAGGAGATTTCTAAAAGGTTTTAATTCAGAAAGATACTTTTCCCCATGCCCCTACAAACATGCATACATATCCTATATGATCACGAGAATCTCAGAACTCTTCTCTATTATCTCGATTAATTATTCGAAGGAGGCGTTCGGAAAATCCTTGAACGAACAGGGCCAGCAGCCAATGAGCTAAATCAACACTGTGGATTCCTTGATCAACGCTCATAAGCGTTGATGGAGGAATCTGTTTTATTTGAAAAAAGACCAGTGTATGGCCAGCTTTAGTCTTATCAAGTACCAATGTAAAGTCTGAAAGTTGTGAAATCCAACCCACTATCAAAGTACTAAAAAATTGTAGAGACATTGTGTTGGATCAAATCCTGTGTCACTTCACATAGTGTAGAGCAATCCATTTGGACCTACTAAATCCTGAAATTAAATAACTGTATTGGGGGGGTCACTAGTCAACACAACTGGTAAAGGAAAAGGAATTCAATAGACTAAGCTCTAAGCCCACCAGGTTTTGTACATTCTTAAAAAAGAAATACTTTTCATTACAAAAAGGACGTAACATTACTTGTTTACTATTTCATTTTAGCAAACCTCGTAAAAGAAACCCAGAATCTCAAGACCAATCGGAAACAAGCCAGAGATAATCTGGTTCAAAAAGACAGGTAAGGCTTCTGGTTGGGAGATAACGCAGTCCATGGAGAAGATCAATATTTTTAGACACGATTTACAAGTAACAATATAGTTTGTTATAAAGAACAGTATAGGGAAAGTATTTTAGAATAGATTACATACATTTATGAAAGGGTTAGCAATGGAATGAATTAATTCTCTGTGTCATATTTGCACATATACAGTAATCATTATGAATGTTTTTGAATGGCCACTGTCAGGAGACTGGGGAGGAAAAGAAAAATAAGGAATTAAAAGCTTGCAATTATCTAGAAGTATGTGTTTGTAGATTGTCATTACTAAACATTTCTAAAGGTGACTTTGTTGTTAATTTGAAGATTTGGGTAAAGTTCCTCTTTAAGGGAGAAAATTAATAAAATAGGCACAAAAGTAATTGAATAGAAGGGAAGTCAACATATATTGGATTTTAGCATAGATACATTTTATGTAAGTTATTGCATAATAATGACAGAGACTTTTAGTAGTGTTAAACTGCTGCTCTTATAAATTGGAGAAAACATGTCTAAACTAACTCCATGTTTTCCCAGGTCAGTGTTTGAGATGCCTAATGCTTCAAAAATGAATAAAGAAAAGGTGGCCATAGGAAATGTAAGTGTTGACTCTTTAGACTGATGTCATGTTTCTGCTGGTCATATATGATATACACATTTTACTGACTGTGGAGTCTTATCGGAGGTCAGGAGTTGCTGTAACATCCAGGAATGCAGGGGCAACTAAATAGACCACTCTTATGATTCCAAATAATAATGGTGTATCATTTTTGCACCTTCTGGCTTTGGAAAAGCTGATAATAAGCTAAATGATTTCCTAAAAGATTCAGGGATCTTTTATACCACAATGCACATAAATAGGACAGAAAATCCATGTGACATGTGTTGTTACTGGGGGTGCACCAATACCTATACTAGTAACGGTGCCGATGCCGAGTATTTGGGTGAGTACGCGTACTCACCCAAATGCTCCGATGCCTACCTGATACTTACGGTATCAGGAAGCCAGGGAAGCGTTATTACACGCTGCCCGGCTTACTGATTGCCCAGGGAACCAGCTCCATGCTCTCTCGTCACCTGTGTGATAGACACGTTTCATTGGGTTGATGCACATTGACATAATGCATTTTTATGCAAGGCACACTAATACACTTGGATGGTGCAAAAAGGGCACATAGAGAACGACTGTGTCCTTGCATTGAGCCTGCTTTGATCAATGCACCTGCTGTGAATAAACTCTCAATGAAATCTGTGTAAAGGTGCCCATACACCTGCCGATAATCACATGATAATCGTGGGAGATCCTGCGAACGTACGATAATCGGCAGGTGTGTGGAAGGCGTGCGACCGTTTCTACTGTACGGTCGCACGTCTTTTGTCTTACGAGCATGTTTGAAAACCCGCAGAGAATCGTACGATTTTCGGCGGGTTTGAGGCCTGCTCTTAAGACAGATGCCGCACGGGCCTTTGTGCGCAAGCGCACACTGACCGTTCAGCATTGCAGTACGATCTGCCTGTCCAAGATGGCCAGCTTAAAGCATAACTGTAGGTACAGTAATGGTTCCGTGAATCATTTCTGAATCCTCATTTAGTGAATAAGCTTCCTTGAAGAGGAGCATTTGCTAGTTACTAACTTATAGCGAATAGTAGCCATGCAATGACTACTGGAGCTTCCTGTTGTATAGAAAGTCCAAGTAACACCATTTATCAGGATGATTAACAGCAGCTGGGTGAAGCAAAACAAAATGCAAGCATTGGTAAAAGTAGGCTTCACCAGCATCCTGATTCCACAACATCATCCTATATGGAGAACTGTAAAATAGGCAATCATTCATTGCAGCAATCAAAAATAGTGCATACTGCCGATCTTCACTAAAAGTATATTGATTATTAAAATGCAGCCATCAGCACAGTGTAATCCCCATCTGATGATTGTCCACCTCTAACGTATTTCACCCCTTCGGCCTTAGTCGTAGAATGGCTGCTGATGGCTTTATTTTAATCATAAGTATATGTTTGGTAAAGATCTGCAGTATGCAGATTTTTTTGGATTAATGTGTGCAAACCCGAGCGGTGGAGCTTGGATCTGGATGGAGCAATGAAAGCTTTTCCTTCACATTCATTGCAGCAGAATGAAATGGGTTAACTTCATTTACATATGTTTTTTGAAAGATTTATGGCTTAATCCACCTCTAAGAAGTGCTGGGGATGCTGTGGTTTAGAAAGCGCCAGTGTACAGTGTATCAAATGTGTCCCTTTGCTCCTAACACTGAAGGGTTCATTTATAAGTTTCGCCCTCTTTTGCCCAGCATATGGGCAGGCGGGTGCTTTTCACATGGCAAATGTGCCCCTTTTTGCCTTCCTCTGGATCAGCTGTGGGTAACTATGGGCATAGGGTCCTGTTTATGGAGGTTTTCTATTTTTTATTACTATAGGGTGAAATTGATGGACTTGTGTCTTTTTTTCAACCCGACTGACTATAACTCTTGTGGTAAAATTGGCTTAAAGGAGAACTATGAGGTGAGTGATTTACACTCGTCCTCATAGTTAGAGCCGGCGAGTGACAATGAAACTGTCACACGTTGGCTCTATAGATCAATAAGTGAGTGAACACATACAGTGGCTCACTCCCTTCCCGATCATCTCCCTGCAGAGAGTGGTGACTGTCAGTCACTGCTCCCTACAAGGATTCCCCCCTCCCCTCTCCAATCCTCCAAGGCTAAGGGGGCGGGCACAGCTGGCTCTGCCTCTAGATAGGCAGAGCCCACTTTCAATCAGCCAGCTGGGTGAATCTCAACAGTATTGTCGCGATCCGTCCCAGCTGTGGCGCTCTCTGTATATAGCGGGCAATAGCCCGCTATATACTGAAATTTGGTTCACTGGAGGAGGATTAGTATATGTCCTGCCATGACCCTAAAGAGAACTATGGAAAAAAAAGGTTACCCCATAATTCTCTTTTAAGGTAGCACTTTAAGGACACAGTCCACTGGCAAATGTCTTCTTTTTAAAGGCTGCAAGCTCACTTTAATGAAAACAAAAGATCAAAAACCCCCATAGGATTCCTTCGCACAGGTTTTCCAGCATAACATTCTTGCGCTACTTGCAAAATAAACCCAAATTCGGCCTCCAGGCTTCTACTCTCAGCATCTGGCTGTTTTGGCCCACCAGTCCTTTTTCTGTTTCTCCACAGACTAACCCTCACTGTAGTGCTGACCCATGCTCACACTGGTTGCCCTAAGCTTTGCTGGCTCTTCCTCTGAACACTACTCCAGCCATCTTTAACAGGCTATCTTCAGCCACCTGACCGACCTATGCCGGTTGTCGGCAAAACCCGGAAAGAACTGCAAAGACAACTTTTTCCCTGTAAGGATATCGGCCTTCTGAAACTTCTTAACCTTTTTATGAGAGTCCTTGGTTGTCTTTAGACCTAATTTTACTGTGACCAGGCCCAGCACTGTTACACTATGTTGATGGCACTAATGAGCATAGGCATTTCCTATACTACAGCACAATCTAGGGGCACTAGTGCCATGCAAACGACATCTACCCGACTGTTTGCTGAGCAGAATTTTTTAAATAAATGAACCCCTTACAGATACAAGGACACCCCATACGCTTTTTGTAGAAGGTTTTGTAGGTTTTGTACAAGGACTGTCATGCCATGCTGCCATTTATATACAGATATTGGGTTTCTTCGATAGTTACTTCAGTTGTTAAAGGATGTTTTGTTTCCTAGATGAAAATGTCAGTGGTGATGAAATATCTTCATGCCTTTGGATGGTTCTGGGTGACCTTCACAATAGTCGCTTACATAGGACAGAACGGTATGGCTATAGGACAAAATGTGTGGCTGAGTAGATGGACAACAGATGCCAATCACATAAAAGATGCAGCAGAATGGGCGGACCTGAGGAACAATCGGCTCGGGATCTATGGACTTTTGGGATTTGTGCAAGGTGAAGACTTTCTTGTCTTTCATATCACTGACATTTTTCCATTAATAGAAAGTAGATTTGAATAGTTCATAATATTATTAGAGTGTGATGGTAAAACGTTTTGCATACTGGACTATTTTTGTTGAGAACCTCAGTTTATGCCACTGAGTTTACTGGCCAACTCACCAAAACAACCATTATACTGAGTGGAATTTTGACAATTAATGTGGACCTCAACCCTCTTTCACTAAAAATCATATCAGCATACAGATCTCCATGCTGATAAGAAATCATCTTACATTTATTAGTTAAACATTTTTCTTGTACTTACATTTACTGTTTTTCCACTTCCTACCCAGGAAGCTTTGCATCCTGGGAAGGTTACATCAGCAGAGCATTGCTGGGAAAATCTCATCTGTAATTTCATGAGATCTCAGGGAAAGGCATTTTCCTCCCCTGAGATGATGTGCATGGTCACATGTTCTAGTCACATGTGCCAGAGTTCCAAGAAGTAAAGGGAGATCTAGTAACATGCCCTTAGTAAAAATGGCTGCTGCCAGAAGACTGGGGAAGAAAAGAAAACGAAGGTATGCAAAGAATAAAAAGCCGGGAATTATCTGTGAGTATTTGTTTGTAGATTCTAAAGGTGTCTTTTGTTGTCGTTTCAAAGCTAAGGGTAAAGTTCCTCTTTAAAGAAAAAAATGTGCAATCAGAATTTTGGAGAAACGAGGTGTACAGAATGCAGGTGGTCAAATGCCAAATAACTCTGCTGCTGGTATTAACCACTTGCCGTCCGCCCATAGTAAAAAAAAACGGACGGACGGCACTGCAGCATTGACGGGTTTGGCCAATTTTGGGTATTATCGTTTTTTGAGGTTTCGCGCGCGCACGCAATTTTAAGGCTTGACATGTTTAGTGTCTTTTTACCCGACGTGACCCCATCTTTTATATTTTACCAAAAAATTGGGTAATAATAAATGTTTTATCATTTAATATAGGGGAAACTGTTTTTAAAAAAAAAAAATCAGAATTTTTTCCTTAATATAGTAAAAAAATAAAACCCCCAGTGGTGAATAAATACCACCAAAAGAAAGCTCTATCTGTCCCCAAAAAAGGGTATAAAATTAATTTCAGTACAGTGCTGCATGACGGAATAAATGTTAGTCAAAGTACCGCAGCGCTGAATACTGAAAAATGGCCTGGATGGGAAGGGGGTTTAACACCGCGGATGTCAACTGGTTAAAAAGCAGTTCAGATGTTACTGGCATGCTTACGGGCTAGGGTTTGGAAACACATTTGGAAATGTTGGTTGCCCCCTGATCCCCTTGCTATTTGGCATTGGACCATTAGTGAAGGAAATTTCTACTTTATTGCTGGGTGAGAAACCCTATAGGGTGACAAACTGTTTCAGGTGATGAAAATCGGATTGCTTGTCTCTCGTGGCCTTGTAAATAAACTATAACCATATTTTGGGATTGCTTTAGGCATTTTTGTCTGCTGTGGTGCCTATGTGATTACAAGGGGGACGATCTGTGCCTCTCGCTCGCTGCACAATCAGATGCTGGACAATATCCTACACCTTCCGCTCCAGTTTTTTGAAACGACACCCATGGGTCAAGTACTGAACAGGTTTACTAAGGTAGGACCTGAGCAGAGCCATACCACACCCACAACATTTATTCTCTTGTGATCAGGTATTAGCAGATCATGACAAATGTGCTATCTATAGATTAACAGATGTGATGTTGTGATCCCATCTTAGGGCTGTATCCATTTTATTGAATTATTATGAGAACTGTGGCAGGACAGGAGTTTGATATTACTGGTGCTACACTTACATTGAGGGAAACAGTGTCCACTAATCAACCATTTTATAAAATAATTCATCCAGGAGTGTCAGCCACTGATTTGTAGGCATTGGATAGCTTATGGGATGCTGCTGACCTGTGCTAACACCCCCCACACCCCGATGGATAGATTTGTTGAAATTACCATTCTGACTTTTCCTGATGGTTATAGTTCCCCAGATGTAGTGCATACAGAGGTGCACAATGACCAATAACAAGTATTCATGTCTGTATGTCAGTTGGGTAGCCAAGGTACTGTTCAGCGGTCGAATGAGATTCTGACAAGCGCACTCGTATAGTAATTAGAAGAAATTCTATAGGCTACCTAAATACTAAGTGTAAACATGGAAGATACTTGAAGCAGCATACATGTTGGTTTGCAAATGGCGAGCCTGGCACATCATCATCTCTTAGCAACCAAGCAGTAGATGCGACTTCCTTACACTACCAGACCCACTTTGGATATTAGGAGGCAAGGTGTGTAATGTGCTGCACATTCTTCATTATCATTCATACAGCATACCCAAAAAGTATTTTTAAAAGATATACTTTACCTTTCTAGATGTTTCTATGGAGCAGGCCTTTGGGCAGACTGCAAGCTATTCTGAACACTTTAAAAGTGAATGTGGAGGAGAACATCCAGGGACAGACTCCATAAAGGAAAAAAACGAAAGAACATTCCTTTTGCATATATTTGCACAGGACGAACGCTCACAGATATTCTCAGGGTGAACGGCCCTGCGAATTGGTTATAAATCAGTTCCTTAGTGATATCATAGCAGGGCAGACGCAGAAAAAAAAAGTTTAGCTATATCTTAGCCGTGCTTCTAATAACACAGGCAGCAAAGTCTAAGCTCACACCTAACCTTCAAAATCTGATATTTCTGTTTTGGATGGTCTGGGCTAAATCACTCACCAACCTCTTTCACAGTAATTTATTTTTCCCCCAAAAGTTGTAGTATAAATAATATAATCTATAAAAAAGTGTAGTGATTACTGGTAACATAACCTAGTTAGAGAAGGAGCAGACAGAACAATAGGGAATACGCCCCCATTCACACCTGAGCGTAGCGGGAATGTGCTTCGCAGTGCCGTGTGTTCCCACATGTTTTCGGGCATTTGTTTGGCATGGTCCCCTTTGATTTCAATAGGTCCTTGGATGCGCGCCAAATTCGTGAAAGTAGTATATGTGCACATTTCATTATTGCATTTAAAAGCGTGCGCTTTTGTGCACGTTTGGTGCGCGTTCACAAGGCCCTCATGTATGAACAGGGACTAACAGTCATGATAACTTCTTCAGGGTCCTTTATGGATTGTGGTACCATTGCTTGTGGTAACGGTACCACAATTTCCTTATCGCATTGATTTGTAATCGATGTGATAAGGAAAGATTTTCTGTCTCAAAAAGCACTTGCCAATTTCTATCACTATGGATGATTCTTCTGGTGAGATCTCTGAACTAGAGTTTCTAGGTGCCCCCAATTACCAAAGCCATTATTAAACACTCTCACTTTCGCTGTTAGATTATGTAAAATGTGTATATAGAGGATACAGCAGGAGATGTAAGACTTTAGGGAAATAGGTAACGCATGATTGGGAATTGTTCTTATTGAAGTAGAACCAGTAGATGATTTAGTGTTCACTATATATCAGTTCTAGATGGACTGAACATTTCAATTCCTATAATATATATTTGTAATATGAAGGCATACTTCTGATATTTCTTGTAACTTGTAACTTCTTTTTATCAGGACATTTATGTGATAGACGAGCGCTTCCATTATTATTTACGGACATGGTTAAACTGTATGCTGGATGTCCTGGGCACTTTACTGGTCATTGTGTGTGCCACTCCCCTGTTCTTAGTGGCCATTGTTCCTCTAGGATTTTTTTACATGCTCATCCAGGTAAGAATTTATTGCCATTGTTTAACAATAAGGTGAACTGGAGTATTAGCTTCTTCTTTTTTTTTTTCTTCTAAAAATTCAAGATAACTTGTGGAGCGGTAATAGACTTCATGCGATCTGCAAGCAGGGGCGGATCCAGAGTGTAGTCTCGGGAGGGGTACTGCCAGAAAATAAGTCCCCCCCCCCACCTGACTCTTCCAGTACTACTGTGCCACCCCTTTCCTCTCCCACTGCCACCTCTGTGTCCACTGCCCAGCGGAGTCTCCCCCCAGGGTACAATGTACTCACCTGGGATCTTTCTGCCTCTGCCAGCCTTGGGTGATCTGTACTCACACAAATTAGGCAGCATGGGCTGAGGCGGCCATCCAGAAATCCCTGGATCCGCCACTGCAGCTTTGTATAATGTATTGCTGGAATTTGCAGTACTGTATAGCTGGTGGTATTCTGCATTGCTGTATAATCATTAAATTGGAATGCAGAATACCACCAGCTATACAATATACATCAAGTGAGCAATACTAACAGCTATAGTCTCCCAATCGCCCCTTTCTCCCCTGAACAGCCATCACCTATAGACCCCCACAGCCTCACCTAACTCCTGCAGCACCTCTTTCTTCTGAGTCCATGGCGGCCATAGGAGGGGAGTGAGCGCAGAAGAGGGTGCAGGGAGGGAGTCTGTATAGGCTGTGCGCCGTTTTATTTTTACAATGAACCACAGTAAAGTCTGTGACAGCTGTATGTAGTGTCACTACTACCGCCGCGGGGGGCAGAGGCAGGGAGCGGCACTATCTGGGGGGTGGGGGGCAATTGCCCTGTTGCCCCCCCCCCCCCGGGACCCGCCCCTCG